TTGTGTGGCACTGGGAAGATCAACCACAAAGGAACTGTTTCAAGTGCTGAGGAGCAAGGATGTCTCCTTGAGGACTAAGGTGCGCCTGACACAAGCCATGATTTTTCCAATCACCTCATATGCATGTGAGAGCTGGACAATGAATTAGGAAGACCGAAGAAGGGTTGATGCTTTTGTATTGTCGTGCTGGCGAAGAATGCTGAAAGTGCCATGGACTGCTAAAAGAACTAACAGATCTGTCCTAGAGAAAGTGCACCTGAAATGCTCCTTGGAAACGAGAATGGCTGTATTTCGTCTCACCTACTTTGGTCATGTTGTCAGAAGGGACTATTCTCTGGAGAAGGATGTCATGCTTAGTAAGGTTGGAGGGTCAACGAAAGAGGGGGAGGCCTTCAACGAGATGGATTGACACGGTGGCTGTGATGATGAGCTCAAGTATAGCAGGGATCATGGAGCTGGCTCAGGATCGGGCAGTGTTTCATCAAGTATAGCAGGGATCATGGAGCTGGCTCAGGATCGGGCAGTGTTTCATTCTGCTGTGCATGGGGTCGCTATGAGTTGGAAACAACTCGATGGCAACTAACAACAACAACAGCATAAGCTCCTGAATGCTTTGACTTTGTTCACAAAGATTAAAATAAAGTTGGGGATATTTTCTTATAGACAGCAGGAAGGAGTTGACAAAATGAGGGCATGGAGAAAGCCAGAGATTCAGAGTGGATGTTGTCGAGTGTAAGGAAGTAAGAGTTCTGCTTTCTTGTGTTGACTTGGGATGCCCATTATGACCATGGGAAAGAAATTGAAAACATCTTTGCCTTAACTTCCCCATTTAATAAATAGAGGGGCAGAGCCATTTAGTACCTAAGGTCCTTTGATGATAAAATATTCTGCATGGAAGCATGCATGATTTTTTTCTTTTCCAAAAGTACTAGGAAAAGAGATCATAGTATGGTGAATATTTTATGATCAAAATAAAAACTATGTTGATTTAAAAGCAGCAGTCATGAAATTTGTTTCCTGTACTTTTGCTCCTGGTGTTTCATTCCTACCAGCAAATAAGAACATGCAGGTTTTGATTTTATTTTATGTGTACGTTTATGAATGGCCTCTTTTTCTAGACAACCACTTCTCCAGGGGCAGGGCCCACATCTCTGAATCCTGTGTCTAATGCAATGCCAAGCACATAACTGCCACTTGGTGGAAATTCACAGAATTATCTCTACCTCAGTTCAAGCTTTCCCTGTACTGCCAACATCATTCCCTAGTAATTAAAAAATATCAGACTTACTATGATTTTTTGTTGATGCTCTAGTTAAATGAAATGAGGTGCTTCTTTGGCTAAGAAGGCTCAAGCATTGTTTGAAAAGGGATTGCACAAGCTTCCTTTGGAATTTGGAGTCTTACGTGTGTCTTTGAGTTTGGGACAAGAAGGGAGAGTAAGAGAGTGGGGGCAGAAGGAGACTGCAGGATGTGATTGGCTTCTTTATTCAGATTCTTTGAGGTGATGTACAAAGCACTCGAGAGTGCACCACTGAAGGTGACTGGATAAAGGCACCAAGAAAATGCATCACGATAAGACAGGCACCAAGGGAGAGATGGAGTCAGGCAAAGCTGGGGAGGTGTCGTGCAGCCAAGTGCGGAACCCTTCTGTGTCCTTGGGTGCCTTTCTGATTCTGTGTCTGTCTGACATCAAATGGAATATTGTACCACTCAGCCAAGTGCTAACTGCCACAGCTCCACAAGCTTCCAATCAGGGTCCATTAAGAATAATGGCAAAGAGTAGCAGCATGAGTTTGGATGTGGAAGGAGGTATAGCAGGGGTGAGTTAACAGCGAGGTGGGTAGCTTCCCCCCTTTTAATGATAATGAATGCCAGCATCCGCTGCTAGGAGCAGGCTCTGGTCTGTATTCATGAGGCGTGGGAGAATATTGATTTTTTTTTTATGGAGACGCTGTAGCTGAAAATTTTAGAGTGGCATTCCTGGTTCTCATTAATATTCAGGCTGGGTAGTGGCTACCGATAGTTGAGTTTAAGATAGAGACAATCTATACTGGCCATTAAAAGAACCACAGTCTAATAGGCATGTCTGTTCCATTTCTCTTGTTTTTAAGCATTCCTCCTTGCAGTTTTCACCCTCAAAATTCAGTGCTTAACTAAATATATGTAGAGCTAAAAAAAAAAAAAAAAGAAAGCCAATCACCTATATTCTTCACATATCGATCACTTAATTTCCTGTACCCTACCATTTATGTTATTCTATATGATTACCCCATTTTTCATGATACACATTTTTGCCACTTGTTTCTGTTTTAATCTGTAGCCTTCATTTTTTTCCCTTTGTGTATCACCCAACTGTACCCAGGTTTGCACTGTTCCATGATCCTGGGGATTACCAAATAGGATTATTATTTCTCTTTACCTCTGCAACAACTGTAATAATTACAGCACACTCAGGAAACAGAGTTTGCTGTACTTTCCAGATCTGGTGGACATCCTCATCTACTCTAATTAATTAAGTCCCTTGTTTGCTAACATTGTCATTATTGCAGTTATTGGAGCTTAATTAGAACAGGAAGTAAATGCATTTCCCACCCACGTTTTGACTTAAAAATAAAACCCACTTGGTATTTCCAGTCACAAAAGTTATGGAAAGAAAGAAGATAAGCTTTTCTAAAGAGGCCATGGTTCTTGTGTGGTGGTTGTTTTGGATTGAATTGTGTCCCCTGAAATATGTATTGTAAATCTTAGCCCCTACACCTATTCCAAGGAGCTCTGGTGGCATAGTACCTAAGGCAGTTGACCACTAACCAGACGATTGGTGGTTCAGACCCACCAGCCGCCCTGGGGAAGGAAGATGGGGCAATCTATTCTGTAAAGAATTACTGCCTTGGAAACCTAATGGGTGTCTCTATGAGTTGGAATCGACTAGATAGCAGTGAGTTTTTTTTTTTTTTTTTTTCTTTTTTGGTATACTTGTTCTAATGCCCATTTGGGAGTGGATTTTCTTTGTTATATTCATGAGGCGATATTAATGTCAGGTGTGTGTTCAGTCAATTTCTCTTGAGATACGGAAAGGGCAGATGGAGTAAACAAGGAAGGCAGCAGGCAGGGGGAGGGAAGACAGATGCCACGCCACTTGGAGATCACAGGATAAAGAAGCTGAAGAGAGACAAGGACTTTGCTCGAAAGTCAGCAGAGAGAGAACGCCTTCCCCTAGAGCTGGCACCCTGTGTTCAGACCTCCTAATCTGTGAGAAAGTATTTTCTGTTCATCAAAGCCACCCACTTGTGGCATTTCTTTTATAAGAGCATAGGGAATCAAACCGTTGTTGTTTAGCTTTCGTATGAGAAGAGATGGTATGATTCTCGGCATGGAGGAGGCAGGAGGCAGAGGGTCAGGGTGCTGAGGAGGCTGAGAGAACAGAGGGGGAAGCCCACGGCGTGCCAGCTCCTCCAAAGACAGCCCTGTGTGGCCGTGTTAGGAAGTCCCACAGTATCAGGTGTCCACATTTAAATGTAAGTATAAGAGGCCATTTCAAAATGGAACAGAGTGTTTTTGGCAGTTGGCCTCTTTTCAAATGATCCATAACTCGATTCTCCATTAGCACACTTAATACAGAGTTGGCTCTGTCTGGTGGTGACATGGGTGGTTCTTTTATCAAGCATATAAAAGCTCTAGTTATTTTCACTTTGGGGACAGTTATTTTTAAAAACTGGGCTCATTCTTACCGAAGGTTCCTTGCCAGAAAATTGAGGCAGGGGGCACTGGGAAGCCACCTGCCATTCGGTGTAGTGGTCCCCACAGAAGGTGGCGCTATGCTGCAACAGACTGTCTGGCGTTTGGCCTCGAACGATCCGGCTTGATATTAAAAAAAAGACACAGAAACAAAAATATAAAATGGACTTTGTGCCGCCTTGTGCCACCACAGATGTATTCCAGAGCAGGCTTTGGAAAAACACTTTGACTGTCTTGGAACTCAGGCTGTCACTCATTTCCCTGAGCAACTTTAAAAATAGGCATTTAAGAAGCTCCGGATAACTTTGAAGATCACAGAAAAGAAGTGCCCCTCTGTGGTATCCTCAGCTAAATTGAAAGTGTCTATATTAGAGAATTCATAATGAAGGGAAATTGTTTGAACACATCCTTTTGTAGACTGTTGAATTTAATTAGGTGGCATCTCGTCCTGATTGCTAATTGGCTAACTTTGCACTATTTGGATTCTTTTGCAGATTTATTTAACTTCTCCCCTTCTTGGTTTGTTTCTGAGTCCTTAAAATTTTTAAGTAAAGAAGTCAGAAGAACTTTCATGAGCGATGATATGTTTTCCCCAGTGACCTCAGCAGGCTTAATGTTTTGACAGGGTCAAAGTAGGTCATAATGAAGTGTGCCTTCAAGACCACATCAAAAGATTTGAGAGAGAGAGTGGAGGCCAGTCTTTATGGATGGAACATTGACTGGTTCTGGAGTCCTGTGACCTTACTAAATTATGTTTGCCCTAACTACAGGACCTGCTGACCTCTAACAAGTTGCTTTAGAGCATGCTCCTTGGTTGATCCATTGGTGCTTGGGGGGTGATCCATGAGATGTTGGGAATGTGTCATATGGGAGTTACTCATTTCCTAGGTGTTGATGAATAAAATGCATGGATAAGGTTTTGAGAAAGACGGTACTGCAGACTGGAAATCATTAGCATCACAACCACTCCTCTCTTGGGTAACTCAAGAGTAACAAGTCCCTCTTTGCATTGTAGAGCATGGGAGGAGGGAGGAGCGATGCCCTTGGAAACAGCCTGGAGAACTGACATCTTGGGCTTTTTCCCAGTCTGTTTTATGGAAGTCATCCAAACTTGATAACATCCCTTTGAGTTAGATAAGCAAAGCTATCTGGAAATCTCCAGTGAGCAAATGATGGCCTGGCATAAGAAGGGTGAACAATAAATGGGAACCAGAAGAAACGAGTCTGTAAGTTTTAACCCCTTCGTTCTCAGGCAACATCCCCTATATCATCTATAAGAAACCACTGGCTACGGCACAAAAGCAGTATCTTTTTAAATTTCAACTTTTGTATGTTTTCAGTTATCCCACCCTGTAATACGAAGATTCGTGTGCTTTAACACATCCCAATAATCTTACTTTCACTTGGCATTTTGTATAGAATTTGGAAATTACTTCTGCTGTAAACAGTAGCTGTAGAATACTTCAAGCTGAGAAGATTAAATGAGGCCCTTATTCCCCAAATAAGCCTTTCAAACTAGGTTAAAGTGACTAAAAATTCCCATCTTATGAAATGTTATATGAAAAAAAACCTCTCCATGAAACGCTGCCCATTGAGATGCTCTTGTGCTTCCAGAGTGTATGTGTGCTGGGGAGTTAAGTTGAGGGGAAGGAAGCCTGCTTTTCGTGAAGGAGACTTCTAGTCACACGTGGACTGTGAAGAGTCTCTTTGCTGAACCACAAAGAATAACCACCCGGCATCTGAGAAAAATCCTCAGTAGAAAGTAGGATGGACAACCTCTGAGGTAGCACATCCTGGGACTACACACCGTCCCCACCCCCACCCCTACGATACACACAAATACAGGAAGAAAGGGTGAGGGGTCACCCAGTCAGAAGTGCCCATTGCAAATATTTTTAAGCTGAAAGAGAACAGAAAGCCCTTAGCTAGGCAGAAGCATACATTTCAACCATTACTGACTCCGTTGCTGAAGATTAGCAAGGGGATGGGCCGTGTTATAGGGTCAAATGCTCTCATAGGGCAATGCTTCCTTCTACAACGCCTGTGTGTCAGACAAGCTGCTGAGTGGTGGGTGAGCACCTCACTGGGCATAGGAGGTGGTGGCAGCAGAAGTGTGTGTGGCCCCTTCTAGAAGTGGAGGGCTGAGATCAAAGGAGCATCTAGTGCAAGGAGGAAGGTGGACGAGGCAGTTGCCTTGCTGAGGTGTGACTCCTGAAGAGAGTCTGTAGGGTTGTGCATGGGACCCACAGTCGCCATGTTGCATGCAGCTTCCTGGTCATACGGTCTCTACTGTATGTGCTTCCTCTTCCAGGCCTGGCACAAGCAGACCCTCCCTCCTGTCCCAGGACCACACCCTCCCTCCACTCAGCAGCTGCAGTGGTGGGAGGGTGGGAGGACAGGTTGAGGGGCAAGGACACTGATGGTGGAGGAATTGCTGCTGGCAAACCAAGCAGGGCATCTGCAACACCACTGGCCCCATGCCTGCAGGTCTCAAGGAATGTTTAATTCACAACAGTGAGGATTCATCCAGAAATTGTTGAGAGTGTAGGTTTGGTTGTCTCAAGACAGACGGCCTAGGTCTGCCTCTGCCGTTGGTTCCTCATGGGCCTTGAGTGAATCACTTAGCTCCTTCCTTAAGAAATGGGGTCACAGCACCTTCTCTACTTTACAGAACTGTTGTGGGGATCAAAGTGATCATGCATACGAATGTGCTTTGGAAATTATCAAGTGGAAAAGAAAAGGTGCCAATTTTGAAATGATTAATGTGGGACAAATGGTCGACAGACAGCAATTTGTTAGTTGATCTATGGCCATCTTGATAAAAACTTAAAGAGTTGAAAATATTACATTTGAGGGTTTTACTTCAGATGAAGTGTCTGGGTGGTGCATACAAGTTAATGCACTCCACTGCTAGCTGAAAGATTAAAGGTTTGAGTGCACCTAGAGGCCCCTCAGAAAAAATCCTGGACATCGACTTTTGAGAAACCAGTCATTGAAAACCCTATGGCGCCCAGTTCTGACACACAGTGGTATCATAAACCAGAGTCAACTCAGTGGTAACTAGTATTGGTAAACATTATGTGCCATTCTAGCTTCCTGATGAATAAAATAACAGAATCCAAAGGTGTTGAATGCTAGAATGTCTAGCATTTATGGAATGTGTAAGCAAAAAGAAAACTCCTAGAGGTCATCTGAGCCAACTCTCCCAGGTGGGAAACTGAGGCCCAGAGAACACAAAGCGTTTGTGCAGGAACATGGTGATGATGACAAGCTCTAAACCCCAGGTCAGACTGCCCATCGCACACTGTTTCCTCCATCACCCTGGCTTTCCTAGAAGCAAAGTGAGATCTGGGTGTCAAAAATAGATATCCAGACACACCACACATAAACTGGATTGCAGAAACAGGTTGTGAATAAAACATAGATATATTGTCATCAAGCCTTCATTAGAATTCCTGAATCTTATAAACATGTCATGACTCACCAACAAAGTGAGCAAGGAAAAGTAAATATAATATTTCATCACCTGTGTAGCTTATTTTCAGTGTTTCTGAAATCAGTGTTGGTCACAGTGAATGTGCTTTTTACACATTATATGTGTCCTTTAGTCAATCACTGCATGGCATGCTACTCCATCAAAAGTACTTTCAAAGATTATTCTGAGGTTCATAGAAATAGGAACCTTACACACTGTGATAGTAGGGACTTACCCTGCCCCGTGGATAGCCAGACTGATAAAGAAGATGATGAAAAGATGATGTGTGTACCAAAACAACTCATAGCAGACCTGTCTGATGAGCTCGGTTGAAGAGGTCATGATCAAGATTAAAGCCAGAGAGAGGACCAGGCCAGTTACACCAGCTATTGTAGTTAGCAGCTCAGTAATTGTGCTCTAAAACAGAACAAAACAAAAACACCATGCGATTAGTATCTCAGTTAGATTTTTCCATGTTAGGATCCACACTTGAGAATCCAACCGGGGAGTAATTTACAATGTTTTCATCAGAGAACATTAGCCATCACAGTCCAGTGCAGCCCAAGGAGTGGGCCTCTTTCCCCTTCTCTCTTTCTCCATCTGATGCTGGCCATTTAACCAGAGAGAAAACCGAAACCAGGTGCTGTCAAATGGATTCCAAGCCAAGGCAACCCCATGAGTGCAGAGATGACGTGCTCTCCATAGATTTTTCAAGAATGTGACTTTTTGGAAGCACATCACCAGGCCTTTATGCTGAAGTGTATCTGGGAGGGTTCAAACCACCAACATTTGGTTAGTCATAGAACACTTAGCTGGACATTTAACTTTGCTCAAATTTTATTAAATGCTATTTTATTAATGACATGTTTTTCACTCATATGAAGCAATTTTCATGTCAAAGTTACATTGTATCAAAATTGGGAAAATAAAGGAACAGTTCACTTTAAGATAAAAACTGCAAAATAAGCCTGAGTTTTATGGCGTTAATATTTAGAATAAAACTATGGATCAGCATGCTTCCTGGTGTCTTCGCATCAGTGAGCACTTGTTCTGGGCAGTTGCTTAGGGGCATTCCTGGTAAAGCCTCTGCATGCTCTGTTGCTTACTCGGGTGGACATTCCCTGCTCCTGCTTTTTAATTGGAGGGACCACGACTTGCATTTCTTTCCCATTACCCCAGCAGGGCTGGAATGAGGCCTCATAAATCCTAGGTGATCAATAAAAGTGCAGCTATTCCTATCTGGTGGATGCCTCCCAAATGCCAGCATCCTGACCTGTGATTGCAAGGTTGGTAAAGAACCTTTTAGAAGACGAATCACAAAGCGTTTGGTTTTTTATCGTGAGTTCCCCATTTCCTTCAAGTCATTAGTATTCGCACATTGTGTTATCATCCTTGAGACGACCATGAGCTCAATAAACTCACACTGTATCTTTTGTCAGCAAAACCTCATTAATTTGGGCTGCTTTGAGATCTCCAGGTAATTTGGACAGAGACTTCTCTGTTATTTATTTATTAGTTTGTTTCATTGGATAAACAGTGGAAATAAAATGGAAAGGAGTCTGTCTAAAACGTTCAAAAGATTTTCTTTTCTTCCAGTCTGCTCAGGCGTTCTAGAAATCCAGTTACATCACATGATGTGCTAATTTCAAATCCTTCTTCGCTAATTAAAGCAAGCCCCCCCTTGCTTGCACCACATTTATAGACTAGTGTGAGTTGCAAAGAACCCCCTACAGTGATCCCACTGTTTCTCTTTAGCAATAGTCCATAATGTACACTTTGTGTTATTGATACTCATCTTCCCCCAAACACTCAAAATTACAGGGTTTCTTGAACTTAATTAGTGCCTCACATAGTCTGTTGCTTCTAACATTTTGAAATAACCAGATTGGGAGTAGCTTAATCATCTTGTTAAATTGCTTTAACAGAGGGCCGTTATCATATACTATTTATGACATAATCTCTTCAAAAGGTTGAGATTTTGAACTTCCCAGAGTCTTAGTAGGAAAGAGAGTTCACCCCAATAGGCACCCAGGAAAATGCTGCAGCTCAACTGAGGAGCCCAAAGTCATGGCCGTGCCCTGCGCAGCTGTGGTTTTGACTGATAACTCTCAAATCTGTGCTTCTTGTTGTCAGCCAAGGAAAGGTAGCTCTGTGGGGTCACTGGTCATCTCAGGATACATAGGAAGCGTGATGGGAGAATTTCCCTGTACAGAGACTTTGCATTCTCCTTACTCAGAGCTCACATGTAAAATGGCTGCTTCAAGACTGCCGTGTGGTCATGGAGAGACCTCTATTTCTGGAGTATATTGCCTCAGGGAGCTTCTTAAGGGATATAGAGTTTTGAATATTGTCAACTGGTCAACGTGCTACATGCATATTCCAATATGGTAGTATATGGCAGAAGGTTTAAGTGAACCCTGAAGAAAGAGATAGTATGGGGTAGATTAAGGGAGAGGAGTGTGCTCATCTTGAAAGGAATCACTGATGCCACATTTTTGATTTTTGTTTTGTTCTCCACACATGTTGCCACTCTGTGCACCCCTGTAATTAGCATTAATGCTGCCACTGGCCAGGCAGGTCTCTTTAGGAAATTAGCTACTTCTCCCCACATCTGATCTGGCAAATGAGCTCTTCAAATAGGTGCCAAATATTAGACTTAAGGGAAGAGATCCAAAACACAATTTGCAAATTAAAAATGAAGACATCCAATTTATAATCCCTGGATTTAGATGGCACTTCACCTTCTTTATGAGTCTAGCACCAGCAAAAAGCAGTATCTCGTCACAAGTGGCTTTTAAAATTTAAAATATTAGGGTTTTAACAGGTCTACTGCATTTCCTATTTAAGTGTACTTATGTATTTATTTTTGCTATAAACTAATTAATTGGCATATTTTTTTCCTCTTTGCATATAACCTCTTACACACATTACAGCAGAAAAAGTTGCTTTTTAAAAAGAGTGGAATGGATGTCAACATTTGGCAGAAACTGCTGTCACATTCTTTCCTGAAAAGCCTTTGCAATATCGTGTTCTTGAGAAAGGGGTCTGGAAAGGAAGGGTTTTCAGGTAAGAAGAATCTCATTGGCATGTGTGGCAGACTCACTGTGTTGAAGGTCCGGATGGGGTTGAGGTAGCTCTCATTCGGGGTGCTGCCAAGTTTGGACAGTGCAGCCGGAAGTCCCTCTGCATCTGGAGCCTGGCTCCAGCGGTACCGCTCCAGGTTGAACAAATGAGCCACAATGTGGATGGCTGTGGACGGAAAGATGGCATTGTCCATGGTCATATAGATTTCTTTCTTTGTAGTTACTCAAAGCATATCTGGGGTCAAACTTCTCTGTGGTGGCTTTTTGTACTAGATTTATCTGTGCAGCTTTCCTAGGGTCTTGAATGGAGTCAAGTGAATACTTCTGAAGACACTGTATGATTCATCATACTAATTTTAGTTATATTAAGAAATAAAATCTTAATTCACTATAATTTAACTATAAACATATGATCCTTAAACAAATCAGCCATTATAATATCACATTACTATTGCATTTTTTATGCAAAAATGAGCACATTTTACATTTGTTTGCTAACTGCACCTTCTCCCCAGAGGTATTTTTGTAAGCTTTCTATGCCAATTTTTCCTACATGTTGCTCTTAAAAAAAAAAAAAAAAAAAAATTGCATAGGGCCCTTAGGAAAATAGCTGAAGGTGGAGGATGTAGTTGGCAGACAAACATAGAAAGTGGATGTTATTTGCAAAAAAATACAGTATGTGTATATATATTTATAAACACCAAAACCCAAACCCACTACCATCAAGCGGATTCCTACTCATAGCAACCCTGTAGGACCCTGTAGAACTGTCCCATAGGGTTTCCAAGTCTGTAAATCTTTCTGGAATCAGACTACCACAACTTTCTTCTGCAGAGCGGCTGGTGAGTTTGAACCACCAACCTTTCAGTTGGCAGCAGAATGTCTTAACCACTGTGCCACCAAAGTTCCTTTATCCAAATCCATACCAAAAACGGGTTGCTGTCAAGTCAATTCCAACTCATAGGGACCCTATCTCTATATCTATAGGTTAATAGATATATTAACTTGTTTTCCCAACAAATTAGAAATTGTTATTCTAGAATATTGTTTATTGTATAAATTGTTGTTGTTGTTGTTGTTATGTGCCGTCGAGTCAAACCCG